ATATATATATATATATATATATATATATATATATATATTCTTTATATACCTACTACTACTACCTATTACCCTTAATATACTCCAGTTATCCTAATAATACATTACCTTTTCCAATTGAACTGAATGTCAATAGTCATCTACATGTACTTGAACTTTCTATAATTAATGTATATTGTTATATAATATATATTTATATAAAATTAAATAACTAATATGTATTGTTTGTATCTTATGTAGCCCTGGGGAAGACCTACAACGTAGGTCGAAAAGTTTGACAATGTAATAAATCTTCTTCTGAAATTGAATCCGCGGTCAACCATCTCCATAACATAAAAATGTTATACTATGATGCTGATGTAAATTGCACTTCTTTTCTTTAGGAAGAGCATCAGGATATGTGTAAATAACATTTACTTACAGGACAACCTTAGTACACGCTCCATGTTAAAGATTATTAAAAATTAGAAAGCATATTAATAATCATGAAAATTAGAGCCATTTTAAAAAAACTAAAATCCACATATAAAGTATTCTTCACACGTGTCTCATCTCCTTCTAAATTACTTTTTTTCCTCGAGTGTTTTTTCAAGGAAATAATTACCTTTTCGCTTCTAACGTCCATTTATTTAAATATTATTAAAATGACGTTTCGAGCTCCATTTGCTCGTTTAAAAGTTGCCTGAATATCTTCATTTCTTTTTTTAAAACTTAATGATCTCTTACTAACACAATAATTTTCTTGTAGTTCAACAATAAAGTACAATTATTATCGTGACCCTTTTTTCTGCATTTAATGAAATAATTGTCAAATAAATAATATACCGGATAGTCTTTCCCCTTCCAATACTTAAACTGGAACGAAACTAATGTTGCCCAAAATCGGTCCTGCTCTTGCACTTTGCAAGACCAAGACCAGGACTGGTAAAAAAAAATCGGTTTTTTAAATAAAAATTAATACAAATTAGTTACTAATACTTGACAATATTAGTTACTATATCTTAATAGTTGGTATAAACAATATACTTTTGGATTTAACTCTTCTAATTTTTCATTCGGGCTTACTTATGTTTCTCCTATCTAAAAAAATATTGTAATATCTTTATAGTAATAAGCTAATAGGTAACTGCAAGACTATTGCGAGACTCTTGCGCAAGACCAAGACCATGTCCAAGACTGAGTTTGGAAGACCAAGACTCGTCTCCATCTCGCATTTGGGTAACACTAATCGAAACAAATATTGCAAATAAAAAATACATTAGGTATATAATAAAGAAAGAAATATTCGAGGAAGTTAGTCGACATATCATGGGCGATAAATATTCAGGACGCAGTCATAACATTATAACAGGACGCATTATAAAATTTGTATTAGTGCCGACGTTTCAACCCAAACATGTGGGTCATTATCAGGGCTTGTCTCTACTCCTAAGGCTCATTGGAACAAAAGAGACACAGACATATTTATCTAATATTCTGCGAAGTAGTATCACAAAAAAAAAAAATCACTGACCCAAAAATAATTAAAACAGAAAATGAAAACTAATACTTGGACGGATTTTATACACCATCGTAGATGGATTTTAAAAGGAGGATATTAAATATAACATAAGGTAAAATATATTTTATTACATAGAATAAAAACAAATTAATACATTTTTTTTTACTCTCTTAAACAGCTTATAAAAATAGTGACTTTATTTGACTTATAATGTGTGCTCTAATGAGAAATAACAAAGAATATACAAAACATGATTACTAATCTTCATCTAATTACGTGACAAATACAATTAAAAAACTATGTCTTATTCTCCCTAATACTTAAGTATATTAAGTAGCTAATACAATTCACAAACAACAAGCATATAAATTTTCATTAGCAATACATTACAAATCAATACTTGTACTTTAAATTTTATTAAAATTTTACAGTGCTAAAAACCATTAATGCACTTAAGTTCTAGGTTGCAATAAGTGATACCAATGCAAACAAATATTAATTGAGTATTGAATACGTTTTAATGCCAATGTTTTGAGGACTATTTCTTAAAAATTAAAAGTAAGGATAATTATTATTACCTTTACCTTCGTTAAATCATGGTTCCCGTCATATTAAAGTCTCATTGACCCACTGCCACATGATAAAACGAAAACTGAGTGTTGACGGTGCGTATACACTTATAAGAACCAGAACGTTCGTGCTGGGTGGGTTGCGGGTTTTTCTATGTTCGCCAATCTCTATTCTATACTATATTTTCTATATGGACCATCCCAATATTTAAAAAAAAAATATATTCGTAATATAAATATCAAAACAAACATATATGAACGAACTTTTTCCTATTAGTCAGATAGATAAAAAATAAACTTTATACTGCGACAAGGCACCTAAACAATAATGTAAAAATAAACCAAAACATATCTAGTCAAAAACTACATTAATGAAAATTCAGAGAATATATACATTGTCTTCAGAGACAATATATACATAAGAAAAAGTAAAAACAGTTTGAGAATAAAGGTGATTGTAATGGAACAAGATAAGAAAAATCAGAAATCAAGAAAATAAAGTTCAGAAACACTGAGTTAATTCTTAAAGATAAAACTTAAGCAATATAAACGACCATTCACTTCTATTAAAATTCCATTCATAATATTTGTATGAATGAGCAACTCTATATCATTATTACTATTGTCCTTGAAGGTGACAGATTGTAATATATCTCAATAAAGACTATTATAAAAAAATTTATTTTGTGACTCTAGAGCGTCCATTTGAGATATGAGAGGGTATGAGGACAGGGAAGAGACAAGGCGGACATTAAATGGCAGGGAATTCATCGATGCAGTAGAGTGGGCAAGAAAGGGGAGTTCCAAGGTTTTAGTTAGATGAGAAGGGATATAAAGGTCAAAAACAGGGGATCTTGTTTTCTTTGCGTGGTCTACGGGTTTGAATTGTAGGAGATTGTAGATGTAGGAAGGGTGGAGGGAGTTCATATTATGGTAAATTATGATGTTCATTAAATGGAATAACAAATAACAAAATATTACGGATGTATTAGGGCGCTTCATGTATATTCATCCAGATAAGAAAAAAAAAAACAACATGTAGTACGAATCATAATGGGAAGTAACACCTCTTTTGAAATTGTAGAGTCAACTAAACGACCCTACCAACGTAGAATACAACCACGACGACTTGATTAATTTGAAAAAAAAAGTTGGTGAGCGAATAACAAATCTCATGTTTTTTCATTTTCTTCTCGGTTTCTTAAAACATTTTCCAACTAACTATGTATATATAAACAGTCGAAGAACTCGGCACGTTCTGAATAGATGATTGAAGAACTAAATATTTAAATGCCTTACCTGTTTGATAGGGTCTTACAAAACCTTATTTTTAAAATTTATTTATTTATTTTATTTTTTAATATTATTTTGGAATATTACTTTTGAATACGAAATTCTTTATGAGAAACGGTACCTTTCGACACTTTCTGGGAGAATGGTCCATATATTGTATTTCCTCGATAATTTTTTATTTAATTACAGATTGGTCAGAATATAATATTATTATTATTATCTTAGAATTATTAAACTTTTTAACATTTAAAGTATAATTATAGTTCTAATGGTATACACTAAAATATTTATAATAAATTATCACGCATATAATAATAATGGAACTTATTCATTAATTAAAAATTCAAGACCCATTATTTATATATTATAAAAATAAATATATATATATAAGATAATCAATTAAACGATATTAAAGCTAACCTTTTATTAATTTTTTAAAAATAAAATAAAGAAATATATTTAAAGCTTAAAATTTATCAATAACTAAATGTTAAAATCTAATAAAATAAATATTTGAAACCCTTACGTAATTAATTTTAAATTTATGTTTATCTTATTCTGATGGATCTCAGATCGTCCGCTTCTTTCACATGGTTCGTTGTAAAAATAATTCATAAGTGTATACGCAACTTTCAATTTTCATCAGTGTACGAAATATGGTTACCATTTTTTTTTCCAAAACTGAATGACTCAACAGGGTCTTCCTTCCTTACACGAAGGATTTGTGTAAGAATATTGGCACCCCATGGAAGTCAATGTTTATGGAAAGACAACAACAAAAAAAAATATCGAAAGAAAAGGATTTTAATGATTTTAAATTTTGTAATTGCCGAATTTGTCGAACCTATGGTTGTTCGGTTATCCTTCAATCATTTTGAGACAAAAAATTTTTGCACGTTGAACACAGTTTATAAATTCCAAACGTGTTTAAAATTGTTTGTGTAATTTTTTTATTTAAAAAAGTAATAGAAGTATTAAAGCAATAACATAGCTTCGAATTTTTGTATTTTCTTCTAAAAAACTAAACACTGGCTAATCGACAAAGTATTTACGATTTTCTGTATTTAAATAAAACAGGAAAAATGTATATTTATATATGAAAATGTATATCAATTTGATACGATTAGTATTTACAATTTAAATAATCGGATTATTATTCATTAATATCTATAAATAAATTTTGACTTAAAATTATAAATTCAATATGTTCTTTAAAATTTTTCAAAATAGTTTTTTTTTTTAAACATAATTAATAATATATTTTTGTTGTTTTTTGTTAAACATATATTCGAACATATTTATAATTTAAATAGCTAAAAAAATAAACATTGTGTTATTGTTTTAGCCACGAGTAAATACTGTATTAAACATTGATTTTTTTATTATATATATATTTTTTTAAATACACAATAGTAGCATTTGATATTTTTTTAAATTTATTTTTTATTACATCACTTCTAGACTTGATTAATAAATTATTTATTAAATATACAATTATTTCTACAAAACTAAGTGAGGCGTTGTCGGGTAAGAGGGAACGTTTCATGTAATGAAATTTAAATGTTCTGGTACCCAAACATATTATTATAGTGAAATTCAAATTAATTTTGTTTATTAAATTTTTAATAAAATTTAAAATAAAAAATGGAACAAAATAACTACCTAAGGTCTCCTTAAGCACTTAATTAAATCAAATGTCAACAACAAAATGAGCCTAAGCACTTTTGTATTGACTTTCCCAGAATATAATAACGTTTACATGTTGTTCCTCCTTACACAACACCCGTTAAAGATAAGACACGCTTGTTTTCTTCTATAAAACAATGTGGTCAATTGTTATTAACAAGAGGAAAAAAAAATCAACAAATACTGAATAAAACAAACAAAAAAAACATTTTTTTACAACACTTTTACTTGAGTTGTACCAACACCATGAAGTATGTCACCACGGCACCAAGAACCTATAACAAACATTTAAAAATCTATAATGAATAATTTATCGCAATGAATTAAGCTAACTGTATACATATATATACACAGAGTGTTCTTTAATTAAGGAGAAATATATAAAGGGGTGATGGTAGACCTCAAAAGCTACAAAAACATTACATAAACAATAGTCCGATTGTCCGAAGAAAAATAGGAAATTAAAGTTTCGTTTTTTAAAATATTTTTTATTTTAAAAAATAAAAAAAGCTGGAGGTATGAAGAGGTGAGAGAAGCAGTGAATGAAAAGAAGAAAGCATGAAAGAAATATATATATAAAAGCTCAAGGAACCTTGCGGAGAGGGTATAAAAAATGCTACGAAAAAATCTGGGAACACTTCGGGAAATCAGTTGATGATAGTTACCGAGACAACAAAAGGAAATTCTGGAGTACAGTGAAGGCACTTCTTGGTGAGAATGCGAAATCTGTTAGGAATATAAAGGATCCTATGGGAGGCGTTGCTACTTAGTATGATAAGTTACTGGAAGTATAAAAACTTCTATGAAAAAAAATCTTCTAAATACGAAGGATCAACTGTAGTACATCCAGGATTAAGAAGAATAAGAACCGAAGAACCAATAGTGAACATGGATGACTGCATTTAGGACGATTAAATAATAAAAGCGATATCCAATTTAAAGTTTATCTCACCTGAATTCAACAAGTTCGGAGGAGAAGAAATTGAAAATACGCAGTAGACGCTATTCCAAAAAATAGGGAATGAAAAAGGAATTTAAAAAAACTGGGGGATATAATATAATCATTCCGTTACACAAAAAGGACAACCAGAGTGACTGTGCCAACTATTGGCCCATATGTCTCTCACCAGTTGGCTATAAACTGTACACCAGAGTTCACGAAAGAAGACTACGAACAATAGTAGAAAACAACTTAGAACCAGAACAAGCAGCTTTCCGTCATAAAAGACAGACGATGAATGACGTATTCTCGCTAAGAATGATCGTAGGAAAGGCTTAGAATCGAGGAAAGAATATATACCTTGTTTTCTTGAACCTTAAGGCAGCCTTTGATAATGTCCCCCGTCAAGAAAGTTGGGATACATTACACAAGAAGAAAGTTCCTCCTAATCTGATAAGGACTATAAAATAAGCCTATTAGGGATCGAAGGGAGTGGTCCGCCTCAGAGGAAAAGAGTCCGTGTCCTTCTTCTTTAAAAAGGGTGTGAAGCAAGGAGACAATCTAGACAGTCTCTTCTTTTTTATAACATTTATTGTGAGATTCTTAAGATTAGCAAAAGAAGATCTCAACGGAAAATTGGCGAGCATTGGAATCATCTCCCTATTTTGGCACAGGCTCTTATATTTGCAGAAGATTTACTAATAGTAGACTCTTAGGATAATTTACAAAAAGCAGATATGGAATATAACACAGGCGGATATACGGGGGGGAGGGGCTTTCGGGCTGAAGCTCTCCCCAAATTGGTAAAATGTAACCATGTTTTACAGAAAAAGAAATATTAAAAACTATCTCTTTAAGTATTCTTGTTCGTGTAATTACATTTAATAGGACTTCAAGAACCACTTAAACACCATTTCATATAGGTAATTAATTTCTTTATTTTTTTTAAAAATTAATTATCGTTATATGTATATGAGAAAAAAATATTTCGGGCTGAAGCCCCCCCCCCCAAAGTTAAATTCTGGATCCGCTAGTGGAATATAATAAGAAATTAATTCGAAAAGGGATGGATGTAAATGCAACAAAAAGTAAATTAATACGTATAGGGAGAAATAAACAAGTAATAATAATAAAAGGCTTAGTGAACCCAAAGGTTCGATGACGACACCACCAATCGCTGTCTACACACCTCCTTCCACCGGTCGCCGTTCAAACCCAGTCCCTTCAGACTGTAATGCGTGGAAACATACGAATATCTAAATATACTTTTCAGCAGAGATACTTAAGGGCGGGGTGCCCGAGATGGCTCTGCTCACATTACACAGCAACGCGTGCTGCCCGGCAACTTGATAACCGAAGTTATTGATGGAAAAATAATTACGAGTTCGCGTCCTGGTGCGGCAGTGGTTATAACTCTGGAATTAATCCCCGCCCTCACCCCCTAGGCCGGGAAAATTCCATATAGCTTAAAAGGCGAGGAAGGGGAGAGAGAAAAAAAAAAAAAAACAGAGATTGAAATTGATCCAGAAATTTCAAACAGTGAGGAAAGCCAATGGGGTCTTCAATCAAATCAGCAATACTTTTATTGAAAAGAAGAAAATTAATAGAAATACCAAATTGGTGATCTATGAAACAATCTATACTTGCCGATATTATTATATGCAGCAGAACTGGACTGTTCCTGGAGAAGCATATGTCAAAAATAACCGCTGTGGAAATGATGTTTCTCAGAAGAATGGTAGGAACGACAAAGAGAGACTGTATACCAATTGAAGTTATTAGGGACGAATTAGGAATAGTCTCCGTGAAAGCAAAAATAGAAATACAACTCAGGTGCATGCCAGATTCCTGCAAGACAATACGGTATATGGAGGCTAAACCTGAAGGACAAAGACCTAAGGGAAACCCAGGGTGACTTACAGGGAACAACTTTAAGAGAAAAGGAAGAGAGAAACTATAGGAAAGAAGAGATGACAGGCATGGGGTCAGATATATCAATTTGCCGAAGAAATATTCTAAAACTAGCACTCGACGCTGAAAGGCCCAAGAGCAAGGGAAGGAAGAAGAAGTATTTTAAGTGTCTCGTTGTTTATTAAATATGAAGCGTTAGCATAATAAATATTTCATTTAGATGGTTAACGATTTATCTATAGTAAACTAGACAATTTTTGCCAAACTAGACAAAGTCGAATTTGTCTTTGTTAAATGTATTTAAAGGCCACTTTTAGTCGGCTAAACTACTTAGATTATGTTTTTCATAAAACCATTGATTATTCGCATTTTTTTTTTATCACCCTCCAACTTGATTAGAGTTATACCACTTATAGAAAAACTTCTCGTTAAATAAGGTTGTTAAGTAATATTTTGTTGATAGACTGTTACCATAACTATTTCGGAAGCACATGTGTGGTGTACCTATCGAAATGAAAAAGGGATACCAGACTGAAACATATTTTATCTAAATTTTTTTTAGGATTTTTGCCACCTCTGCAATGTGTCGCCCAAGCAACTGATTTAACGTAAAATTATTGTTTTTTCTTTAATTTTGCCTGTATTATCATTGGCGATTATGAATGAATAAATGATTATGTGCTGACGGGAACAACAATACGTTTTCAAATACCTTTTGCAGTGAAGAAAACAATTTGCTCACGTTCACGCGACACGAACATAGCACGCCCTCCTGTCTCGTTTCCTTTGTTCCTTCATTAAAAATGTACACTCGAAGCCCCATTCGAGTCATGTTGTTGTCACTATTTGCAGGTTATCTCAATTACCGCTCACGTGAGGATCTTGTTCGATGAATTTTCTCAGGTTTGCGAAGCGATTTCATTAATATATTAAATTATGTTTAGCGAAATTCTTTTCCAAACCGAATTATCGGTATCCGTACATATATTATTACAGTAAGGCTCGAAATCGGTTTTGTACCAAATATAAGCTCCTGTGATGCTCAAATAGCATGAATGGGGTACCGTTGGATTCAGAATTTCACGGGGGGTTAGCGAATCGTATTCTCCACTTTTGTTTTTCTTTCTAAAATAAATAAAGTCGATACAAACATTTTGCTAGGCTTCAATACTGAACAGTGGTAGGTCTGTAGATCGATACGGGACAAATTGGATCTTGAAGATTTTGATGCGTACAGCAAGACCCGATAGTTCCTCGGAACTATCGGATCCTGCGTTTTTAAGCCCAAAAACGTACTATTTTCGAGAAAACGCTTGGCATAGGGTTCGCATCCACACAACCTTACGTTAATTGTAGTACTGTCATTGAATACATGTCTCATTTCGTCGACTTGAGGTCTCTATGATCGAGAGAGGAGGAGTTTATATTATTTATCGATGGTGTTTTTGATCGGCAAGCCATATCATCGTCAATTTTTCACCAAATCTCAAGATTGAGCCACCAATTTCGAAGGCTTCCTTCTCCTTCAGGCGGACAAAATAGTCCAATCACCCCGAAAATTCAGGCAAACAAGTTATGAAAGAAAACAAACTTTATTTGCGAATAACTAAAAAATTACACACTTTTCCTTGGTTATGCCCATGATTATATAAAAGATTACTAAATTCCCTACAAAATGAAAAAAAAATCATCGAAATCGGACAATTTTTAGCAAAGATACAGCTTACTGAAATTTGTAAACATGTTGGTTCCAAACAAAAATGAAGATTTAAATTAATTTTTGTTTTCTTTGTCGATTATATTTATCGATAAAGTAAAATTTGATTTCTTTATCTTTTGATACGTTGCATTATTTTATTTTCTTATTAATCTGGCATTTGATAACAATATGCTGTGCGAATTTTTCGCACGGGCCTACTAGTCTAGTTTTATAAGCGGCCCATATAAAAATATTCAAAGGAATGATAGCAGGTCTCAGGAGCAAAAGAAAAGTTCATACATACAATGGTCCGACTCCCGAAGAAATTTAAGAGAAGGAAACGATAAAAAAAAAAAAAATTATATTTAAAGCGATCAAAATTTATTTATAGTAAATTAGTTTTTGTCTTTGATAAAACCGCTTAGTGGGCACTTTTAAGTGCCTAAACTAAGTTCTTGATGGAGGTTAATAAAAAAAAAAGATTTTTATTGTTGCCTACGTTTCAACTCAAACTTGTGATGGGGTCATCATCAGGATATGTTACCAGCACTGATTATGACCCTCATGCTTTGGTTGAAACACCGGCAACAATAAAAATCTAAAATTTATGCTAACATTTACGTTATGCCCAAATTTTTTTTACACAGATCTCTAATATCCTTATTGTATCAAGTGACCACCCTAATAATTTGTTTTTATGAAAATAATTCATGTAATTTTCAAAATGGATAACGACCGAATCAGTGTCCTTGTTGTCAACGGAAATATAAATGGAACGATTGTCTCATGCTTGATCTTTAAAGCATTGATTTGATAGAATTCAATGGAGCACAGACGGATCTACGGGAGAGGGGGGCTTTCGGGCTGAAACCCCCTCCAACAAATGTTAAATACTACCATGACTTGTGAAAAATAAAGTTAAAATTATCCCTAAAAGTATTATTGTTTAAAACATTATTGTTTAAAGCATTATTGTTTAAAGCGTTATTGTTAAAAACATTTAATATTAATACGGGAATAACATAATCACAATTTCATATAGGTAGTTAGGTTCTTTCTTTTTTTTCCTAAAGTGATTCTTGTTATAAATATAAAAAATACTTTCGGGCTGAAGCCTCCCCCCAAAATTAAATCCTGGATTTAATGCTAATGCAGTGGAGGGAAGTTATTTGTATGCGGTCAGAATAAAACTTATGGGTATGCTGAACCTTTTTTGCTCTTATTGAATGAGAACGTTCAAACAAATATTGCAAACGTTCAAAAAAACTGAACGTAAATAAGAGTGTGTCATCTTACCGAGGCGAAAAGGTCGAGTGAAACAGTAAAGAATTTAGCTCCTGAGACTGTCAAAGACTTCTGGCACTGCTGGCAGACGATCTGCACAAACGTCTTGGCTTCTTCGGATCCATCGTACCAGTGGCAACTGTACGCCGCTTCCATCACCGATGAACTCTGTAACAAAGCAAGTTTCGTTATTACAAAAATTAATCAATTATTTTTCTAAATGAAATATGACAGTTTGATTATGATTACTAATGAGCTCAGGACGAAAAAGCATAGTTTAAAAGCTCAATTCACTTTAATAACTACTAATAATATATTGTGTAACCGATCTATTATAATTGCCTTTTAGCAATATTTTAATAAAAGTATTTTAAACTGACTCCTTAGGAAAATTTCATTTAATTAAAAATGCCAGCAAGGCTCAGGCCTGATCTGGCTCCGTTTGGGGCCCTCGTCTATAAGCTGAAGTGGAGCCCCTTATAAGGACATTTTTTTTTAGGAAATTTCTTTATTGAGATATGTTACAATCTGTCACATTCAAGGACAATGGTAATAGTGATAAAGAGTAGCTCATTCATACTATGCACAATAAATAAAAGTAATAAACAGCAATAAAATAATACTAAACGTAAATGTATATAAACTAAAAGATACTAAACTAAACAAAAATAAACTAATCTAACAAAATAAATACTTAAAAACATACATTCTTTTATACAATATTTACAATATTCATTCACTCAAGATCTCCGAGCCAAGCCTTTCCCCACACTCGTGGAGGGAAAGGCAGAACTCTAGGAGATCCCAGCGTCTTTCACTCAGCCGCATCACTGGTATTACCAATGGAGGCTGAGCAGAGACACTATAACCAGACATACATGGCTTGAGTGGAGAATCTGGCCATTGCCAGAACTCCAATATATTCTTACAAGTCTCTGGGCCACTGCCGCTTCAACCTTCGAGGAGGGTTGTAGGGATGAGTAGTACTAGAGAGGGATTGTACAAATGGATTTGGATGATATGTAAGGTTTTGGTGGAATTTGAAAAATTTTCTAATATAAAGTCTAGGCCAAATGGAATATTAAGGTCATGGTGTAGGGTTTGGATGTTAACATAGAACGGAGCATCAACTATTGTTCGAAGGATTTTGGACTGAAAGGATTGAATGCGTTTGATGTTACCTTGCGCAGAGGCAATATCGCAACCAATGAAGGTCTACTGAGGTGCGATTATTGCTAGTTGAAAACTTTTACCAATAAGGACATTTAAATCCTGAATATGGATGGAACCACCTGAAAACCACTATATATATATATATATATATATAAATCATAACTTATTAATAAGTACCATTGACCTATCCTGATAAATTGTAATTTTGTGACTAAACCATTTTCTTGGGTGAATAATATATTGCTGAGGAGGAGGGCAGAGTTTTGCCTAAACGTACCAATAAATTTTGCACTTAAATATTAATTTTTGATTAATTTATTTACGACCAATAGGAAAATGAACTACTATAAAAAGAACAAAGGTCAAACACGCATAATGAATAAAAAATATGTAATTTATTATTTTGAAAGAATAGGATACATGGATATAGGAATATATATAAATAATAAGAGATAGAAACCCTATGCTGATTTATATGAATCTAATATTATAAGCTAATTTAGAAACTAAGTTAGCTAGAATGACCTGAGTAATTGATTGCGTTCAATCTTCTTCATAGTAAACCTACGGACAACAAAAAAAAAGGGCTTATCGCACCTTTTAAACTCTCCTGGACTCTATTAAATATAATTTCAGAGACCAGTGTAAGTTGTGGGGAGAAATCATAGCGAAATATATAAAGGATATACAATGACAGGCAAAAAATTCCACCCACTTGATTTTTTCATATTTTCATATAAAAATATTTCTGCTTTGGTTTGGTATATTGTTTTTAATGAATAAATAGGTAATCTGTTTGTTTGTTTTCAATTAGGAATGTTAATATAGAGAAAAATAACCCTTAATCCTTAATTCAATGAAATGATTCTAGATTCCAATGTTTACTTTCTATGGAATCAAAATGTTTATTCAGTATCATTAGTTCAGTGCCGTTTCTTGCAGCACATTTCTTAGTCTCCGGCTTTTAATTTTTTCAATATTAAGTTTAAAAATGCCTCTTAGTGCTGAGGATGTTGCGCGTGGTGTGGCACTTATTGATGATGGACGTTCCATTAGATATGCAGCTAATGCCATCGGAGTTCCATATGAAACTTTACGAGACGCCGTCAGGCGTTTTCGGGAAACTGGTTCTTACAATAGAAGGCCCGGTTCTGGACGGCCTAGGGTAACAGAACCACGGGATGACCGGTTTTTGACTTTGAGAATTTTACGAAACCGGCACCTTACCGTTGTTCAAGCGATTCATCAGCTCGAAGAAGTTCGAGGTGTGCAAATTTCTGAACGTACCGCTCGGAGAAGATTAAATGAGTATGGATTAATGGCTTTTCGTCCAGTAAGAGGACCAGAGTTGACCAGAACTCACAGAGTAAGACGGCTGGCTTTTGCTCGAGAACACAACAGCCATTGGACTATGGACGAATGGAGTGCTGTACTTTTTACAGATGAGTCAAGATTCGCTCTTCGATCTCCAGACGGGCGTGAAAGGGTGTGGAGAAGAAGAAACGAAAGATATGCAGCCTGTAATTTTTTCCAGAGCCAACCTTTCCAACGTGGTTCCTTAATGGTGTGGGCTGGGATTTCAATGGAGCGTCGCACAGAATTGGTTGTTGTTCGTGGAGGGTCTTTGACGGCCATTCGCTATGTAGATGAGATTTTGGAACCTCATGTGTTGCCTATCCTCAACGAAATCTATTCTAATGCACGCCCACATGTCGCCCGCATAGTGCAGACGTTCCTTCAACAGAACAATATTGAGGTTTTAGCCTGGCCAGCACGTTCTCCAGATTTGAACCCCATTTAGCATTTATGGGATAACATCGGAAGACGAATAAGAGCGAGTGCAACACTTCCTGATATACTACAGGACCTTGAAAAGGCTCTTCGGGAGGAATGGGCTATCCTCCAGCAAAGGGACATTTCCCGACTGGTGGAAAGTATGCCGAGGCGTGTTCAAGAAGAAGTGAAGGCAAGAGGAGGAAACACGCGCTTCCAAACTGATGATGTAATTAATTTCTTTTAGAATAATAATGGTTCGTTTTTCAATTTTTTTTTCTCTAATATTTCTTAACCAATCACATTTTGATTATTAAAAGTACAAAAGATTATAAAATTCCATAAAATAAGCATTATCTACAAATATCATGTATTATATACAAATACAACTTTTTTTAAAAGTGGGTGAAATATTTTTAGATGAAAACATGAAAAAATCAAGTGGGTGGATTTTTTGCCTGTCAGTGTATATAAAAAGGAAGAAGAAAAAACTGCTAGAAAAAATAAATGCTGCGATCGCTGTTGAGAAGATCCTAAATATTTGAAAGTATTACAAGGAACCGATGGAAACATTACTTGGTGGAAGAAATATGTAATAGACAGATGAAGAGAGTAGAATTATAACCATGCCATTTATAAGGACTGTATTTATGTAAGCCATTTATGTAAGTGCCTACACGCAGTGCCGCTTTTCCGCTGATTAAGTGTATTTTCTAAAGGACCGTTTCAAATATGTTAAAAATTAATCAGTGATTTAAAAGATAAATTTATTCTATAGATGTTTTATGTCAAGGAATTTTTCGCTATTAGTGGCTGTTTAATTACAATTGACGCTTGATTTTCAATTTTACTTAAAACGACTTGAAAAATTTGAATTTAATGTTATTTTTTAATGCCTAGGCAGATTATTATTTTATGTTTTATTATTTTCCGACTATCCAGTTTTAATAAAAGACCAATTATCGGGAAGTCAAGCCAACTGCTAAATCTCAGTGACCGAAAAACTAACACGCGTCAAAGTCGGTCTGGCCCACGGACTACCGTCTCCCACCAAACCTTTTCCCTCTCCTCCATTACTTATCAATCAAAATATTAAAACGAATAAATATTTACTTCACTAACTCATATCAGACAGGTTATTGAAGATAAAATACAATTGCACATGATAAAAATAAAAAATAATTTAAATCGAAATAAAATTTTCCAAACTTTGAAAACCCGTATCTCGTTAAATATTTGATTTATCGAGTTTGTTCGGGTCTTAAATTGTGATAATAATAATAATAAAAGGCTTAGAGAACCAGAAGGTTCGATGCCGACACCACCCATCGCTGTCTACACACCTTCCTCCACTGTTCGCCGACCAAATCCAGTCCTTTTAGATCGGTCTCAACGCGATCCCTCCACCTTTGCTTCGGTCTACCTCTCGGACGTTTAACAGTCGGCACAACAAATATTAGCCTTTTAGGAATTCATTCGTTACTAAGACTAACTGAGAAAAAGAAATAAAACGAAAATGACAATTTTAAAATCCCATTTAATTCGCTGCGATGTAATCACCTCAATTATATTAGCTACATATAATTCACGCAATTCAGCGTTGTGTAACCGTCTGAACTCTCCGGTTAACTCATCCTTCATCGGTCTGAATATTCTAAGCAATAATATATTTTCAAAAACCTTAAGACGTTGCTCATCTCTCGATGTAAGCGGCCACGTTTCGCATCCATAAAGAACCGTTGGTAGGATAATGGTTTTATAGATACTAATTTTTAAGTTTTGGGACAGTAGGCGCGAGCAGAGTAATTTCGTCACTAATAAGAGACATTTAAATAAAAAATGTCGTCCGGATCGGTCAGAATATTGTTATTTTCATTCCGAATTCCAGACGTGACGGGCCCTAAACATTTATGCGATCTGTTTATACCTTTGTACATGTCTCTTTCATTGTTATCTACTGATTAGATTATATTTCAATTATTTTATTTTTATGAAGCTCTCTTTTTTTATTTTTAAGCAATTTGGTCGTTTAATTCTTTAACGTTCGGAACTATTCGAGATTGACTTCGCTAGGATTATTTTGAGCTTGTAATTTACCAGCTTTTCATTAATTACACATGTTTAAACAACCTTCATCGAACCATGATTTGGTCTAAAATTGTAGAATATTTAATCTAGTTTAAAAATGTATAGAATGTTTTTGTCGTTAACGTGCTGATTCA